ACACTGTCTCCTAAATCAACTGGGCATTCTGTGTAGAGCTGAGGTTTTATTCAAATCCAGATTGCAGCCACTGTATGACTCAGTGTGTGTCATACAATTTTACATTCCCTACCTACCTCTTTGATCCTTACAATAACCAACTAAAGTAGGCTACTGCATATCCATTTTGCATGTGACCACAGAAGAGGGGATTTGCTCAAGGCCACATGGTTTGGTAATAGGATGCAACACAGGTCCTCTCTTATCCAAAGATCAGAACTCTGATCATTTTGATTCTGTGCACACAACACTGCCTTAGGCCTTGCCCAAACTACTAACCAAGCCCCATACTATTTCTCATTTGCTGCAAATAAAATTCAAATCTTACTATCCATATAACCCATACACTATTCTCTAAGAAATTATACTAGCTTCTCTTATTTCATCCATAAAAATGAAAAAATTTCAGTTTACATAGTAAATCATAAGACACAAGTATTAATAAATGTTATAGCATATTAACTTTTGTAAGAACATTCACCACTCAATTCCTGGCAACTCATATACATACAGTAAGAGCAAATGCCAAATTTAGGTCTTACCTTTGTAAGATCCATTCCAAGCCTAACCTGTGATAAGAGGTGCATGATGACACTCTTGTGCTCCTCTACTGACCCCGCTTCTCCATCATCGTCTCTGTCATCATGTGAATCAAAAAGGTCTAAAATAGAACACATCTTCTTAGACTGCTTTAAAATTGGACCTAATTGTACTGCTATCAGTATTATAAATGTTTCTAAGAAAGAAAAAAAAAGTTATCAAAGGTCCCTTACCAGCATCACTTGTTCCATTGGACATGGATGAATTCAGTGATTCTGTTGTATCTGGGCGCTTTAGGCTATTTCCTGAACTGCTGTGTGTCACGACTGAGGTTGATCCAGAAGAACTAAAACAAACAAAAGCAATTACCTTCCTAAAGAAAGCAATGTGGATTCATAGCAAGACATTAAGTTAACCTGTAAAGCTACTTAAAACCAGCACACACAGATGGAGATAGAAACAAACCAGTCTCACAATTAGCTGGTTACATACATAGATATACACACTTTCCAATTCTCTCCCTATCTCCTCTGTTGCAAGACACACTCCAAACTCTGATGACAAGGTCTCATGCTTTCTGCATAGTGTGTGCTCAACCAGTCCATGTTGAAAGGCCAAGCGGTAGATATTATCAAAAGTTAGTGAGATCTTTGCCTTTGTATCCAAATTTGAAACTAGAGTTTATTTTCTGATTTTATTACTTTGTCACATGTTAGATGTGTCCCACTTCTTGGCAATAGTTTCCAGAACTTCAAAATGGTAATAGTCTAAGTTTCAGAAAGATGTCTTATCTTCATTTCTTGAGATCCCTTGATAAAAGTCCACAATGGTGTTAGCACTCTTTCCAGTAACTAAAAAGTGCATTTGAAAATATAAAATAAAAAAGCGTATTATTTTCTACAAGTAAATTTATGGTAACTGGCTTTATAAGCTGATTAACAGATCTAAAGAAACGTTTCTCTATTAGATTATTATACCTGTGATAGTAATTTACCCAGATAAACATTTATTTATTTATTTTTTGGTGGTTTGGATTCAGGGCCACATGCTTTCTAGGCAAGTGCTCTACCACCACTTGAGCTACTCTGATAGCCTTTTTTTAATGATGGGCATTTCTGAGATATGGTTTTGTGAACTATTTTCTGGGGCTGGCTTTGACCCTCAATCTTCCTGATCTCTGCTTCCCGAGTAGCTAGGATTACAGGTGTGAGTCACCAATGCCCAGTTTACCCAGGTACCTGTGTTTAAAGAATTATCAGAAAGGCAAACAGTTTAATTAAGTATAAAAACAGAAACCAAATTTCTCACAATGCACATACTTAAAGTGGTACACAATAATAGTTCGCACAGAAGTGATCATTACTACTAATGTTTACAAACAATACTGAAAGGACTTAAGCTTTCAAGCTTTCTTCCTTCAGACATAGAGAAAAAAATATAGTAGATAAAAGTTTGTTCTGAGAGTTATAAAACTAGGGGTAGCAGCTAATGACAAAACAGGTGTGACAGCTCAAAGCCTACAAATGCCAGGTAGAGAATATAAATACCCTATGTAAATAGGGCCAGGTTATAAGATAATATGGAATTTAAGCCAGCATACACAATTTGAAGGCACTTAAAGCCTCACTGCAAACAAAGCAGAAAGCAAAGAAGTCAACAAAACACTTTGCCAGGCAATAAAGTATCTGCAGTCATTACCAGTTTGGGTTTCTAGATTAGGGTTTCTAAGGAGTGTGTAAAGTTGAAAAAGAACCTAGAAGGGTTAGCTGGACACAGAACTTAAATTCTTCTTCCCCCTGCCCCCAGCCTGGCCCACTTCTCTCTACTTTACCCTGTTATATAAAGCCTTACTAAGACTTTAAAAAATTTCTTAAACCAACAATCATTTTCCTTACAAATGCAGAGTTTTGAGCCATTGTGATGCAATTACAGATGAATGTCATACTTCTTAATTACATGCATGCCTAAGAGAACTATAGTCCTACACGGTATTTCCTACTAAAAGAAACTGACATTCAATGCTTTAGGACTGGCCGATGGTACTTAGCTTACAACTTCACGTATAATCATTTCCAAATATATACTGTCTTAAAAAGTAAAATCCAAGCTATAATAATAGTACCAACTCCTGACAAAGCAATAAAGCTAGAAAATATTCCCAGCAAAAATGAAGCCAACTACATCTATAACAAACACAAAAGCAAATAAATATTAGTGTTTTTTATAATAAAATAAGTGCTGGACTTACATTATTCCCATTTAAATATTCATCATGAGGATGAGTGCAGTGGTAGCTACTGGGGGAGAAAGGGAATGGCAGATCAGGAGGATCAAGGTTCAAGGCCAGCCTGGATAAAAAATTAGTAAGACCCAATCTCAACAAACTAGCTGGGCATGGTGGCATGCACCAATGGTCCCAGGTATACAGGAGGCTGTAGGTAGGAGGATTAGGGTCCAGGCTTGCCCCAGGCAAAAATTCAAGACCCTTATTTAAAAAACAAGAAACAAACAACAACAAAAACCCCTAAAGTAAAAAGGGCTGGAAGCATAGTTCAAGTTCAAGTGTAAGAGCAAAGCCAAATTCAAATCCCAATACCAACAACAAAATAATAAATATTCACAATGACTCCCTGAAGTTAAAACTAACACCCTCATTTTACAAATGAGGAAACTGAGAACTATAGATTAAGTAATTTACCCAAGGTCACACAATAAAACAGATTTACAACCCATTCTTTCTGAGATTCTAGAATTGAAGTCTTGGCTATAGCAACTCAATCTGCATACTGTTATAGCTGACAAGTCTTCTGCTTATTGGAGAACATGTCAATGTTTTCATATGATGAAGTAAAAGAGTCAAATATTTCCTTTTTCTTCTTTTGGGGGGGAGAAAGGGTGATACTGAGGTTTCAATTTAGGTGCTTGTTAGGCCGGCACTCTACCACTTAAGCCATGCCTGTAGCCCTTTATACTTTGTTGTTTTTTTTCAGATAGGGTCTCAGGTTTTGCCCAGGCTGACCTGGACAGTGATCATCTTATCTATGCCTCCTAAGTAGCTGGGATTAGAGATGTGAGCCACTGTAGCCAGCTAAGAGTCAAATATTTTCTAATGAGAGAAAAACCTACCATCAAGATCTGCCAAAACTTGCCTGGTTCATATCTGGGATTCAGGTACTTCTGACATGCCACCTGTTATTTCTCAGTTTACTACCAGGTTTTGGCTGGTCTTTCTAACTGTAATTCAGCCCCTTTGCATTCAATTGTGCACAATTTCTAAAACGCAGACAAAACCAGCAACTGCCATGACTCGTGAAAATATTCAAAGTTCATCAAAGGCTAAAGGATTCTTTCATACCCAGGCCTTGTCAATTTTTGGATCTTTTAAAACAATTTTTAAAGTTACCATCCTATGTTTCAGTTATATCAAACTACTTACAACTCCCCAAAGAAACCAAGTATCCCTTGCCTACAGGCCTTTCTAACAGGGTTCCACCTGCATGGAAACATTTCCATTTAGCCCTGCTCATTCACCCCTATTGTTGTTCTCTCTACTCATCCACATCACACTTTAGAATTACATCCTCACCCTCCCCTAGAATCTTTCTCTGACTTCTCCAGACTTCAAAATGTCCCATAGTTTTCCGTGCATATCCTTACTGTATGCCATGGTCTGAATGTTAGTATCCTTCCCAAATTGGTATGTTGAAACTTAATCACCAATGTGGTAATATTAGGAGGTACAGCTCCTGGGTGAAGATGAGAAGATGAGGTGATACACTCGTGCACGGGATTAAGAAGCCCAGAGAGTGGCCTAGTCCATCCACCACATAGGATACATGTAGAAGATGCTATCTATAAACAAGAAAGCAAGCCTTCAACCAAACACCAACTCTGCCAGCACCTTGACTTCCAGCATCCCAGAACTGTGAGAAATAAATATCTGTTGTTTATAAGCTACAGTTTATAGTAGCCCAAATGGATTTTACCTGTCTGTCTGTTCCCCCAACAGACTTAAGTTATCTGAAGGCAGAGACATGCATGGTCTTCTTAACTTCTGTATCATCCCTCCAAATAGTGCTGGGCTTATAGATGTTGAGTATCTCCACCCAAGTACAAAAACAAGTATAAGTGACCTCCTATTTGTAATGTAACACTTCATAGCTTAATCTCATTGAATCCTCTCCTGATGTTGGTATTGCTACAGAAATGTCAAGAGGTGCTCTAACATTATTAGCACATTATCACATCTGATGCTATTTATTCCATTCAGACTAAGTCAGGAGTAAAACCAAAACACTCACAGAAGTGACTTTGCTCAGTAAGCCAATAAAAAGTAAGCTGTCCTTTCACAAACTTTATAAGCAAATCTGTCACTACAATCTCAAAATCAAATTACATTTTTAAAATTAGAAGAGTCATGTGAGTATGTATCTTACTCATATACTTACTCTATTAAACGCTTTGGGGATGAACCACTTTGATGGAATTCATCAGCATCATAGAATTCATCTTCACTGCTAGAGTAAGAGAACTCTGGGACTGTATTTGGAGACAGGTTGACATGGCTTGGAGAAGTCAGACTGCTACTAGGTGGTGAATGCCCACTGCCTAGGAAGTTAAAATGTTTTTAATTAGGGGAAAATGTTGGCAATTAGGGAGATGGGTATAAAGCAGACCTTTCCAAAGTCAAGAGTTTGGTTAAGTTTGTAGAAGTCTCTGCATTATTTGTAAAGAAAATCAACATTTAAACTAGACAATGAAAAAAGTAAATTATGTTATAGAATGTGGACAAAGCCTTTATCTTATTTTTATTTGTTTATATTTACAATACTGGAGACTAACCCCAGGGCTTCATGCTTACTGGGCAAGCACTCTACCACCGAGCTACAACCCTCTCCAGCCTTTTAAATAAATGAGCAAAAAACTCTATTCCCATTTCACAGTTTCAGATTAATTTACCTTTCATATTAGAAGGGAGCTCTTCTGATTATGTGAATTTGGTGTTGGAAGACCTACAATAGATACCAGTAACAATGGGAAGCCACGGCTCTTATATTATAGCTCCAGATACACAGAGCCAATGGGAATTGCAAAATGGAAAGAATATCAAGATCACATGAATGTTTATATATTGTTCAGATTATCACATTCATACTCATTTTTCACAGTAGTCACATAGAAAACACACTATCTCTGCACAAAGCTCTGAGAACACAAGAGTTTTGTTTTTTTTTTTTTTCCTACTTAAGCCTGTGTCAGGTGCCTAGTGCAGAGGACAGAGATTAAAACAGAGGGCAGCTATGTGAAGAATACAAAAAGAAAAGACTAGGAAGAACATCTTTCTATTCCTAAAGGATCTAATAAAAGAAATGGAAATTAATGGAGAGTCAGAGAAAGAAGACAGAGTACTAAGATCAATTTAAATTACCAAGTGTCTAAAGGCTACCAGTAACTGATGCCAATCCACTATAGATGCCTCATAGAGACTAAAGTTAATTAAATGACTGCAGACAATTAAAAAAAAAAAGCCAAGGCCACAGGTCTGAAAGAAATTAAAGACAGCAGCAATAAAAACGAACACAGAGCTATGTCTGGTTTTTTAGACCATTCCTGTATCTTTAGCTCTGTAGTTAAGAGAACAAATCTAGGACTGGGAATGTGGTTCAAATGGTAGAGTGCCCAACTGGCAAGTGTGAGGCCCTGAGTTCAAACCCAAGAACTGACAAGAAAAAAAAAAAAAAAAAGCAAATCAGTTGGCCACACTTGATTATCATGTGCTCAAAAATACTCTTTAAGCAATAGTTTTCCCCCTAAAACATAATGCTTATCACAGAAATTGCAAAGCAGCTCACTTTTATTTCTTTGTTTCTCAACAGTAGAAATAAGCAAGTAAAGAAACTTTCTCTTATTAGAATAGGAAAAAAATAGACAAGGAATTAACAATTAAGTAGCAGGCAAATACTCAGGTGATTACACCACTGAAAATGTATCTGAAAAGAAAATTAGTTTGAATGAGAACTGCAAACCTAAGAACTGAGATTTCTTTCTCTTTTTTGGAGGTGGTAGTGGTGGTACTGGAATTTGAACTCAGGGCCTTACATTTTCTAGGCAGGTACTTTACCACTTGAGCTACTCCCTCAGCCTCTGTAATCTCTTTATGAGAGCAAACATGATTTGTTTCTTTTTTTTTTTTTTCCTATGTTAGAGAGGGAAAGGAAGTCAAACAAAAACTAAATTGAGTAATTCATTTTTTTAAACAATTCACTATGGGTCCCAAAGTAATTTTTAAGATACACAAACAAAGCCCTGCAAAATTTTATTTTATTTAAATTATAATTACTAAAACTCCTAATATTCACAAGTTACCCACTTCATGTATGGCACTGTTAATTATGCAACTAAGCTTTCTCCAACAGAAATATACATCACATTTCCTCAAACTCTACCAATAAGATATTAAACACAAGTCTCAAATATTAATGGAGAGTCATGAGAAGTAAAGGTTACACAAATCTGTACCTGTACTATTTGGTGTTGGAGTCTGATGATGTCCCAAGGTGGCTAATACAGGTCCAACGGGTAAGGAAGATGGTCGCTGCTCTGACTTACACAACTGAGCAGGTTCTAGATTTGAATATGTGAATGAAGTCAGAGAAACAGCTAAATATACTCCGTTGACTGCAACTATTTGAGATTCAAAATCCTAAAGATCAGAAATTTCTATAACAATATTTCATTAAGTTCATACTACCACTTTATGACTTTCTAGTTTCTTAAACTCCACGATGACATGCTACAGAGCACTAAGACACTAGAGGTAGGATACAAGGAAACCAGCTCTGATAGACTAATACCCTAGTACAATTGCTCTGTAAAACCAATAAATGCATTTGATGATAATGTGTCTCTGCAAACTGAACCACATAAAATTTGAAATAGGGCAAAGTATCTAATTGAGTTCCTTACAAGATATTAAGTTCATTCCAATACGAAATAAAAATTCATACAAGGATTTCACGTAATAAGTACTTTAAAAAAAAGGATTGTCCTTTTACAGTACAATTTCTGGCTTTACTATATCATTACTGAGAATAAGCAATACTGGATGCAAAAAAAAAAAAAAAAGCAAAAGGAGTAAGTAGCTGGCTGATCGCTCTCCGTCAGTTTTTCAAAAAAGTATTTATTGCTCTGTACTTAAAAACACAGATGCCATGGTATCACTAGCCATCACACTTTTCATTCTTCCCTTTCTCATTGTCTTAAAATTAACTGTGAATAAAACATTTACATTGTTCAGTTATAAGGAATATCCCACAATTGAATATTCTTGAGTTACCTTTACCTAGATTTAGGTGTACTAAGCTTTCCTTGATGGCCATGAATTCCAAGTTCTAGAACCCTGCACTATCAGCAAATCAAAGTCTTAGCAACCCTGTAGTCTCCCACTTCTGAAAACCAAAACTGCTTTCATCACACTTCAAAACCCTAATACCAAAATACTATCTTCTTTTTCCAGGTTATTTCCAGTTGTGCTAATCTTTTGCATTTGTTTACTTTTATTTTATTTTATTTATTTTATTTTTTTGCAGTACTTAAATTTGAACTCAAGGCCTCACACTTGTAAGGCAGGTACTTTACCACTTGAGACACTATTTATTTATTTTTTTCCAAACACAGAAAAGGCTAAGATTACTGTGATGACCAAATTAAATTTTTTCTTATCTGTGAAACAGTTTTCCAAATACTATACCTGGAGGTAAGACAGTCTGGGAAGGCATTGTGCTGATCACAGGTTCCAATGGACTAGGTTGATATATTGCATCTACAGGGTTAATAGTACTCTAAGATAAAGAAACACAGTATAGTTATTTTTAATTAAATGTCCTTCTCATGCTGACCCAACCCAAGGAGTAAAATGCCCACATTTCTGAGAGCAAAATCCTGAGGATAGCTATATAGGTCAGTTGGTCAAAATGCAAAAAGGAAATGAAACACCTTTTTTATACAAAATTATTAGAGTTTCTTCTAACAAAGCATAGTAAAAACTGAAAATGAATGAACCACTATCACATAAGATGGTAAAGCTATATGGGAAAAAGATTTGTATAATGGTGTGGAGAGATTTCAGAAAACAAACCTTTCAATTCAATTCAGTACTTCAAAAATTCTTATTTCACCACAAGTCTTATTTCATCACTAGTGAATGGACCTGTACCACTAAGAACTCATTTCTCCAATCTAGTCCACTGCTACCTGACCAAGTGTCACACAGTATGGGTGTCCAGTTACATGGTCACTCAAGACAGGTTGTACCTCCTATTAGGTGTGGGAAAAAATGTCTTTTTGAGGATTTAGAAGAGAATAAAAAAATTAAACATGTAGTTATAATTATTGGGGAGGGGTCTAGGTTTCTGAGTTTTGAAGCCAAGTAATTATTCTGCCAGCATGATGACATTTTAAAAACAAGACCCTACAGCTTACTGATTCTTTTTTTATGAGCGGAATGATATGTATGAACTTTATTTTACTTATTTTGAGATATGGTCTCACTATGTAGCCCAGATTGGACTAGAACTCAATATATAGCCTGGGCTGGCCTCAAACTCACAATCATCCTGCCTTAGCCTGCTAAGTGCTGGGATTATAGATGTATGACAGCTTGAGACTTTCAAACAAAATTCTTTGCTGCTGAATGAGTTCAAAAAGTATCTGAATGCACAAACATGTGGAGGTGAAGCAAATCCAGCAAAATGCTGTCTGTAGAATCCAGGTGGGGTGTGTGTGTGTGTACGTATTCACTGTACAATCCTGTCAACTTGTGTCTATGTTTGAAATTTTCTATAATAAAATGCTAAGAAAACCTCTAAAAAAAAAAAGTATCTGAAAACCTTAAAAGCACCTAACAAAACTGAAACTGAAATAATAGCAAAGTTTCTGTAGCTTTCTCATTTAATGTCTAAATTTTTTAAAGGAAAACTCTTTATATAAACATTAAAAATCATTAAATCAGGTCTCTTAAATCAAGTGATCTGAACATAACAATTCTTGTCAATAGTCAATTTACCATAAATATTCTAACTGAAAATCAAAGGACACTAGAGAAGACAATCAGGAAATTGCAAACAATCATTCATAATAAAAATATGAGGGCTGTAGATGTAGCTCAGTGGTTAAGTGTTTGCCTAGTATGCATGAGGCCCTGGGTTTGATCCACAGTATCATTTAAAAACAAACAAACAAACAAAAACCTAATAAAGTAAAATGTGGAAATGTTCTGAAGTTGAAGCATTGAGAAAAGCACAGGAACAGAGACTTGGAAGTTTAATTCCTTAGAATCCTCAAGTCTATTATTCTCTATGGGCTTCAGTTTCCCAGTCTATAAAATGGAGAAAACCTGTACTATATGCTCCTCTAAAGGCTTTCTAGTTATTACTTTATGATTCCATTTTCATACCATAATAATGAAACAAGTGTCTCAACAAGTCTTGGAGCTGGTTTTGTGTGTGTGGATTTTTTTTTTAAGAGACACTGGGGCTTAAACTTGAGGGCCTTGCTTGGTAGGCAGATGCTCTACTACCTGAGTCACAGACTCCAGTCCTTTTTGCTTTAGTTATTTTTCAGACAGGGTCTTGCACATTTTGTCCAGGACAGCCTCAGACCACGATCCTCCTACCTGTACCTCCCAAGTAGATGAGATTGCAGGAGTGTACCACCACACGCAGCTTGTTTGCTAAAATTAAGTTTTGCTAATTTTTGTACAGGGTGGCCTTGAACTGCAATCCTCTGAATCTCTGTCTCTCTGGAGTATAGGCATGTTCCACCATGACCAGACTCATTTTAAAATTTCTTGTTAAACAATGTTTTCTTTAAAGGACTCTAAGTGCTTTACAAAAGCAAAAATCCCACCACCAATACACAGGAATGAGGATGTATCATTTCCTGACCCCTTCCACTGTAGGGACTAAGAAATAAAATAACTTTGGAATCAGGGACTGGAATTCTATCTTTTTTGGATAATTATCTTTTCTTTTCTATATAAAATGTTCTACAATTAAGTTTGTCAAACAAATAAAATACCTTTAAACTTCTTTTGCATTGCTAAAAATTATGGGAGGTCACTATTTTGAGTTGAGCTCTTGAACTAGGCCCCAACAGACCAGATCAAACCAAAATGGAATCACCTAGGCTAAATGCCACATAACCAACAGAAATTCTAAGGAAACAAGCGGATCCCCAAACAAACCATTTTTGATGATCATAGAAGATTCCAGTCTACTTGTGTCTGTTTTAATAACCCAGGTTGCTAGAAAAATGACCTGATGTTAATCAATCAGCCTTTCCCCCCTATTGTTCAGTTTCCATTATGTTCTGCCACTGCCCAGTAGATTTTATTCTATTTTGTAGACTACAGGCATCCCAGTCCGGAAATCACAAATAAAAGTTAATTCTGGTTGTAATTCTGTGTTTTTAGCATGTATATTAAAAGTACACAATCTTTTCTTATTTTTGATAGAAAAAGAAGAAACATTCTATACTTATCTACCATCCTTGATCAATTAACTTCATGCTAAAATATATGAAATTACATTATACACCTTGCTTTTAAAAAGATGAATGTGTACAGAACTTGGAAAGTGTAAACGAATAATCCTTAGCTATAATTTGTTAGGACATTAATGAAATTTGTACAAAACAATACATAATAAATAATACATAAGTACATAGAGCTAACATTTATTGAATACCATATATTTAACTCTATACCTCCCAACAACAGAGGTGGAACCTTTCAGCTTTCTTTATAGGTGAGAAAATTAAGACTCAAAAACGTTAAGTAACTTGTGTGAGGTTACAAATAACAAGTGATAGGGCTGGTATATATGCCCAAGTGAGCAGTCTGTATCTTCAAAATAAACACTGAAATTGGGAAATACTGTATTTTCTGAGCAAATGCTTCAAATAAGTTTGTTTTCCACAAATTTAAATTTTCTGTAAGTACAAACTTACCAGATGTCCTTAATTACAAATGATCAGACATTTTGGTATGCTTTATAAAATTCTGCTTATGTTTTTAAACATAATTAATTTGGCTTTGAAGGAAAAGAGATAACTGCTACCAATAAGAGTTTTCTTAGGAGTAGTCTTTAGGGGCCATGATATGCCAGAAAACAAACCATGGTATCTTTAATGATATCTCTGAAATAGATAAATTACATTTTATTGCATTTATATCATTGAATTATATTACCTCTTTAAGACTCACACTTTGAACACAGAGAAAATTACAATATATTTAATTCATATTTCAAAAATGTTTCTATTATCTTTCTTAAGAAATTTGCAAACAATATAAATATCTAGCTTTTGTTTTCCATTTTAAACCAAGTGTAAAGAAAACATGCTCATCCTTTCCAAGCATAAGCATGAGATGGTTCTAATGATTGTTTCCAGGTCTCAAACAAACTGGCACTTGTAAAATTTTGAGGCAAAAAAAGAGGCTGTTTTCTGCTTTGGAAATAGTCTCAATAGAAGTCATTTAGTTACCATAAAACTAGAGTAGTTCAAACTACAAATCTTCAAACTAACTTTTATTTCCACCTGGAAAATACTAGCCATACAATTTTCTTCTTTGTATTTAATGGGGGGAGTTAAATATAAGGGAAGAGTAAAAGCTAAGAAGGAAGAAAGAAGAAAATGGCCGTAAGTAAAAAAATTCATGTTGTAACTTATTCCAAGAAGAGTGTAATATATAACACAGCAATAATGACAGTTAACACAACACACAAAATCTAAAAAGAAAAAGAAAATATGTAAACAGATTAAGATATTTCAGTATTGCACCCTCCCCTCTTTGCTTTCATCTGAGATAAAGAGAAGGTTGACAAGAAATGCAGCATGGTGAGTTATGTCTTATTTAATTGTAAAAGCTGAGTTTTCATACAATGATTAACCTTTCAAGTTAACACATGCAAAGTGATTCAGCCAGAACCAATACTTAGAAACATTTTAAGACTGTCATGTCCCCTCCAAATGATTGTTGAAAGATGGCCAACTTTAGGAGCTCAAGAAAAAGTGCAAGAGTTAATAACAAAAAGCAGTGAATAAGGTAAAAAGAGGAATTTGTGTTGAAAAATGAGTAGAAAGGTCTCTCCTGACATGACTGGTTATAATGCTCTGCAGAAGTAAGGGAAACAAAAAAGATTAGATCAAACTTACTATAATTCCATCTGCGTGCTTCTCCGCATTACTCTGGTCCTTAAGGAAAAATGTTAAAAATATTAACTTCATTCTTACATGTATGTAATTAATGTCTTGTGCAATTTTCCTAAGGACGCTTGTTTTACCAGGTAAGTAAAACTGAGCACTACTTCTCAGCTTTCACTGATATTTTCATTCCATTTGTTCATTTTTAGTCACACATAATTCAATCAATATCAATATAGGACAATTACTTTTATATTCAGGAATTTAAGTTCAATGAGGAAATATCCTGTTAAACTGTAGTCACATTAGTACCAACAATTAAAAGCAGAAATACTAATTCAGAATTGAAGACCTTCAGTATGTCTTTCTTCCCACTCCCCTACCACCTGTTTTTTTTGAGACAGGGTCTCAATTATGTAGCTCAGGATGACCTGGAACTCACACTTCTCCTGCCTCAGCCTCCTAAATGCTGGAATCACAGGTGTGTGCCACCATGCATGGCTTGACCCTCAATATTTCTATATTTAAACTTTCAAGTAAATTATGCCAACTCCCCACAACAATTCTCAAACTCTTACTGCACTTTAAGGTTTGATGATCACATACCCTGAAAAACCCTGAATGAACACAATTTCACATTCTAACTATTGGCCTCAGAATTATGCTAATAGTTTTTTTAAATAGACATTCTGACTTTTGTTTCCGTAAATTTAACTGTTGTATTGATGGAATAATAAGAGAACAGTGAATTCTTACTAGGTATTTATGTATATTAATTTACTTAAAGCCTCATAACATAGGTACTATCACTACTACCCCATCAGATGGATGAGAACACCATGACAGAAAGAGCAGTACAGCAGTCTCATTCCATACTCTTAGTATGCTATTTTGTCCTGCCAGAAGAGTGAGGAAGAAGGTGGTGGGAGATGCCAACACACACTTGTTTTTGTAACAGCATGTGAAAGGGACCTAAGTGCTCATTTTGTGTACCCTGGACTCTTTGATCGTCTTCCTCCTCACTCTCCCTTTAACAGCGCCTGTGACCAATGTGGGTACAAATGTGAGGAATGAACAGTCTTTCGAGACTGTCTCATTCCTTAGTGATAGAAGTTTTTCCTGGTGAGTACTATCTAAGGAGTAACCCAGATATTTGTTGGAGAAAGGCGTATTTCCACAAAATTAAGACAGGAAAACACTGAGCAGATTGTGCAACTATTCAAACACAACTGACAGTAATGCAGACTCAGAGTTTTCTATATCAACAGAGCTACACAATGCGTGCATCGGACTTAAAATTTCTTTGATTTGCTTATTCGAAATTGTTTTTCACATTTGGTTAAAACCACATGAAATAAATTCACAAATAAACCAGGCTTACTATACTGCAACATAAGAAAACTTTTTTTTTTTTGGCTTCTTCATGTTTGTTCATGTAAAACAGAACTTACTTCCTCAGAGTTTTTGTGAGAATTAAATAAAAAATGTAGGAAAATGTTTTTAAGTAAGAAAATTAGATATAAAGCCTAGTTTTTAATAATAAATAGAAAACTAATATGATCCTTGCTTCATTCAAGTGAATTATAAATGTAGTACTAAAATGAAGACATCAGATGGACCCAGAAATATGATCTTGTAAACAGCTGCATCATATGCTTTTTCTAGCAGATGCTTTGCAGAAATTATCTGAAAAATAACCAAAGCATAAAGGACTAGGGGTATGATTAAAGTGGTAATTTGCTTGCCTACCAAGTACAAGGTCCTGAGTTCAAACTACAGAACCTCTAAAAAAAAAAAAAGTGAAAAAGACAACTCAGACTTGAAGGAAATATATATTTGCTAGGACTTGTATCAGCCCCAATTAGGGCTGGGCTGGCTTCTTGTACTAATAGCATTATCTTCCTCAAAGGAGCTGACTCCAGTATTGTTAACCTACCAGTAAACAGTAGTCCTCCAAAGTAGGTATAACAATTTATATTTCCATTAGTACTAGGTAGAAGTTTTCCATTTTTACCTACATGTAATACTGTCACTTTAAGATTTATATCCTTCTAGATTTTTTTATTTAATAAATATTTAAGTATTTTAATATGCCTGGTATTAAAAGCATTATAAAAAGTAATTCATATAAGTCTCACAATATTCAGTAAGAGACAAGTGACACTGCTACCCTGTTTTATAAGGACTATAAAGCAAAGCACAGACAATAGACAAACTTGCTCAAGTAACAGAGTTGAAATTCAGATCCAGGAGGTGTTGCTCAAGAGGCAGACCATTTGCCTAGCAAGAAAAAGGCCCTGAGCCCAAACTCCAGTCCACCCCCTCCCAAAAAAACTCTAGTTCCAGAGGTTCCCCCCACCCAGTCCTGCCTGTCCTTACTTTAAAAAAGGTGTTAAATCACAGATTAGTGAACTGACTAGATTTGCCTAAAGGTTAATTTATAAGAATGATCATTACAGCACAGTAAAGGAAGCTGAGTAAAAAGTCCATAGTGAAAACACTAAACCATGTAACCACTAAACATTATACATTAGAAAACTCATTTGATAATTTATTTATTGATCAGGTACACACTATGAGGCAGGCTGCTGCAGGCACTAAGAATAAAATGATGTTATGAACCCAATGTTTTTGTACTCTAAAATTCTCATGTTGAAGCCCTAACACCCAAAATGGCTACACTTGGATACAGAGCCTCCAAAAAGAAATTAAAAGTTTTAAAAAGGCCATAAAGTTGGGGTCCTGATTCAACAGGATTAGTATCCTTAAAAGAAAGAGACACCAGAAAACTGGCTTGAGCTCTCTCTTTCTTGGTACACTATATGAAGACACAGGGAGAAGGTAGGTGTCTCCAGTCAGGAAAGGAACCCTCACCAGAAACTAAAAAAAGCCTGATTTTCAGCCTTCAGTATGACAAAATAAAATTCTGTTGGTTAAGACATCCAGTCTATGGTAATTTTGTTATGGAAGCCTGAGAACACTGATTCTAGTGGTAAGACTAAATACTTATGGAGATTATACTCTTAGATAGATGGACAAAATATATTTAAATAAACACCATGTAAATTTGGCTAGTGATACAAGGCTGTGAAATAAAAGAAACCAGTGTTAAGTTAGAGAATTTTCTTTTAAGAGAAAGATCTTTCCAAAGACATTCCATGTGGCAGAAATTTGAATAAAGTGAAATGAGAAATAAGCCTGTTAGAAATCTGTGAAGTACCTTCCAGATAGAGAGAAAAGCAAGTAAAAATCCCCAAAGCTGGGCTGGAGGTATGGCTCAAGTAGTAGAATGCCTGGTTTGCAAGCATGAAGTCCTGAGTTCAAACCCTAGTCTCACCCAAAAATCAAAACAAAACTCTAAAGTAGAAAAAAAACTTGGCTTGCCTGGAAAAAAAGAAAACAGACCAATGTTATTGAATGGTGTGATCAAGCAAGGGTAGGAGATGAGATCAGTAATAGCTCAAATGATGTTAGTTATGCTAAGTAGTTTAGATTTCATTCCAAATAAAACAGGAAAGCATTAGGGGTATTTGAGCAGCCAAGTGATATGGTCTTATTTACATTTAAATTAAGTTCAAACATAGAGTTTATAAACAGTACAAACACAATTTGAAAGTTGTACATAAAAAGCCTTTACAACATAAAACTTCTTCTCAAATTAAATAAAGCCAAACTCCTCTTACTTGATTCAAGTTATTCATTCTAAAGGACCTTGAAATGTAGGTCTATCAAGCTGGGCTAAAATAGACAGGTAGCATATACACATTAAACTTTAGGAAATTCTAGAAAAAAAGCCTTAATAATCTGAACTGTAACACATTTCAAAGACATGGAACATCAAAAATGCTCTTGACAAGTGGATAAAACATGAGCTATTGAAAAAGGCCAAGCTGCCCTACTGTAGAGTCATCTAAAGAAAGACCTGAATGATTTTCAGAGATCACAGAAACTAGCCTAAACGTTGTATCAGCTTTTTAACCTCCTCCATCAACCAGAGAAAGCAATATGAATGCCTTGAAATATCTACTCACTCACACCATTCATGGTGTAGTTTACTGGTTACCTATATACAGGTGCTGGGGGAACTGTATCCTCCATCTACCCATGCAATTTCACAGCTAAGAAAAATTAAACCAAAAACTTTACCCCTTTCATGCCTCCAAACCCTATCCTCCCTTCTTAGTTTTAGAATATATTCTAATCCAAAAAAAGTAGATGAAAAGTTTAGACACAGATACAGGAAATCAGGAATAGTAGACAGGAATATCTAGCAGGTGAACACAAGCCCTAAATTCTGACACTTTAAACATATCAAGTCTGGCCTCAAAAGAAAATGACCGTGCCCCCTTTAACTTATAAGCTGAATTTTCTCATAATAAAAATACAAATGGACTCTCCTACACTATTGTGTTGTGTCACTAACAAGGCTAGATTAAAGTCTCTATAATTAAGTAAAATAATCCAGTTATTAAAAACTCAAGCAAACATCATTTTCAACCTAGGCTGCTGAGTTATCTATCCGCCCCTTCTTGCCACTGGTTATAGAGACAGTGATGTACAGTCGGGTAGAAATAATTTTTTTTGGAGGGGGCACTTTTTAAGCAATGCTATTCTCAATAAAATTCTTCTTTCTGAAAATTTAGGGCAATATTTATTTGAGTGTGCCAATTTTTAGAAAAGCAGACAATATACATGAATTTTTTTGAGTAAAAGAGCAGAGGTTTATTGAGAGGAAAAGAGAAGAAAAGCCCCCATGCGGGAGGAGTCTCAAGATGAGCCCTACATGAATATTTTAGCCCATAACAATTCAAAATATATTTTGTTCCATAAATAAAGAACAGTAATTAAAGAGTAGTTCCTTCATATAATTGAATACCCCAAAAAAACCTGTATCAAAAACATTTTTAAAAAATATTATACTCTTTACCATGCATAAGCAAAAAAACTTTGCTAAAACTTAACTTCTTTATATTCTAAGAAAAAAAATTGTATAAGATTTTGCACAAGATGGCTCTATTCCAAGCTGCAATAATGGGTAAAAAGGAAGGAAAGGGTGAGTCATTCAAACATGCTCCCTTCCTTCCCAGCCACCAAGAGAAATTGTTCCCAGAAAGCAGACACGTGTAGGTAAGATAACATCCAAACACAATAGCTTGTTCAATAGTATAGACAATTCAGTTTATTGTAGAAAGGTAGTTGTTTCAGAACTGAGTTTGTGTCTATTAAAGAAAAGTACCATTATAATTTTTAAATTTTACATCAAGGTAAGCACAAGTAAAATTTACTTACTTTAGCAATCTGCAGCAACACAATGCAGTGTTTAATTGATTCTACCATGCTCTAAGAAAACAAAACACTATTTTAGGATCTTGCCTCAAATAAAATGGTTAATGATGCTAAAGCTTAAAATATAAAAATCAGTTTCACTGCAAAGAGGGGTTAAGTCTACACTTCACAACAATACTGTGTTTTGGAAAATTCAATGAGTCCTAATATGTGACAGGTATCAAATGAAGTTATTCATTAGCAATCTAGGGTTGGTTAAGGAATGAGAAAACTTTGTTTATACTGAATAAATGATTTTAAGCACCTCAAAGGGAAAGAGATGCAAAACTAATTAACCTTCAAATTTCTTAGATCAACAGCAGTAACCCAAATGTCAATTCCTAAGACATGGACACGGAAATATGCACAGTAAAGGATACTTTCAAAATATCCATAAACCTGAAATACTATTTTGCATATTTCTAAAATCCTTTTGTCAAGACATAAATCTCATTTGATTCATTAGATAATGTCTCCATTTCATTAGGTAACTTGAATCATACTGCATTTTAATCATAAAAAGGAGAATAGATGAAGGATGAGCCCTGACCCAAACTGCTCCATAATCTGGAGCTGGCATGATGGCACAAGTAAAAAAAAAATGCCATATTTCATATGGAGGGTGCAGTCAAAATGACAGGTACACTAAAAATATGATATAAAAATATCTTCAGGCTCTGTACCTCAAGTATATATGAAACATAAATGAAATTCGTGTTTTGATTGGGTCCCCCTCCCACATTATGTACATGCAAATATTCCAAAATCCAAAAATATCCAAAATTAAGAAATACTTCTGGCCAAGCATTTCAGATAAGAGTACTCAACCTGTACTTGTGCATGAAGAACACTTTTTATCCAAGGATCTCAGACAGGCAAGATCAGAAACAGATGAAATGGTAGATGAAGTCAACTACAGGGGTTATTTTATTAGTTTAAGTTCCTTTGGACAATGATACAATTTTTTAAAGTAGGAAATCCATACCTTTTATTTTTTTAATCTTTTTAAAATATTATTGTTGTACTGGGGGTACACTGTGACATTTACCAAAGTTCTTACAACATAAATGACATAATTCTTAACCCCATAAAAATCTATCAAAACTGAAACCTCAGTTCTTACCAATATTAGCAGTTTAAAATAGAAGTAACATTTTAAAGCACCTTCTACTGCAAAGTCAGTTTATCAAACATGTAACTTACATTTGTTGTCTCTTTGAGAGTTTCAATTTTCTGTGAAAAGTAAGTTTAAATAGAAATAATGAGAAACACAAGGAGATATCATTGTTTTTAAGTGATCAGTCATTTAAAGAATTTTACCACAATGTACTCATTAGTCTAAGTGAGTGTAAGCAGGTTGGGAAGGAAGTGCTTTTTGTTATATTTTTAAGTGAAAAACAAATACTTAAATTAAAAATTCCATTTTATGAATTAAACTCTTTAAAACAAAATTCATATGATTTGATTCAAGATTTATAAGAACAAGATAAAACATTCTTACTCCTTTCCTGAAAACAGATTTGTCTTTTGTACATACTTCATTATGTGATTCTAAAATGCTTTTGTCAAGAATCACCTTAATCTTTCCTAAATTACTTTAAAAAACAATCTGGGACTGATTTCCAAAAATAAGAATGAAAGGTAAGTTAGAACATCAGTTAATACTATCATTAGGTATAAAAGAGCCAAATGCAAAGCTATAGACAACAGAAAAGCAAAAAAAACAATGGAAAAAAAAGTCACATCAGGAAATCTAGTCAATAAGGGAAATGTTAATTAGAAAAGAGAAGATAATATGCAAATTACAAAGTAGATGTCAGAAATCCAAGGGGGGAAAAGGTGGTGTAACTAAACTAAAGTATTACTTGTTTCCTCATGTCACTTGCTTATTCTGAAAACTATTTTCCTTTGAAGTGACCACAGGGAAATTTAAAAAATAAATAACTTTGTACCTCAACACATATGTGGAGTGGAAGAACTGAACTCCTACATATAAGGTGCTTACAAAAAAAGAATGAAAATTTTGCATATTACCTTTTTGTTTAAATATAAAACTGTAACATAAATTCACCAGAAAATTCCCTTTGAGGTTCAGATGGTAGTACTATTATAATAGATCAATAATATTTTTTGCAGTGGAGGGTTGTTTTGTTTTTGATAGAATCTTGCTATGAAGCCCAGGCTGGCCTCAAACTTACTCTACCATCAGTGCTGGCATGCAATACCACACCTAGCTTCAATAACACTACTATAATAGAAAAAATTCTGATGTACTTCTATTTTTCCAAAAGACTTCTAGATTTAAAATTTTTGTCAAAAATCATGATTATCGAAGTTACCTTTCTCTGTTCATCATCTTTACAGTTTTGAAGCTTGTCATCAAAGAGCTACAAGATTTAAAAAAATGGTTATAGCATCAAGCTACTTTACTGCATTGTGTACATTTATTATTAAACATAGAAAAGTATGTTCTTAAATACATTTCCTCCATGGATATGTATTTTCAAGACAACATATTTTTTTCTTCAAGGCACTGTATCAAGTCACATTCTATCGTGTGAATGATTGTAAATAGTCAAGAACGATCAGGTAAATAGTCAAGAATAATCAGGTAGAATCAGAGGCAAAGAAAACACATGTTTTAAGAATTTAAAATATTAGTTTGAACTCAAAGTCTTCTCTGCTTTGTCTTCCAAGTTTATCAACACTCCTTTCTCCCAGGACCTGTGCTTTTAATTCATTTTAAAGTAGGAATCAAAGGAGACATTTATTTTAGCAATAATAAAGAAGGTAAACAAGCCACCTATAATACACTCCTCCCTAAAAATAAAGTCTTAGAAATCAAGCTGTAATTTACCAGTTTTCAGAATATGAATCTAATCTTGCTTATTTTTCTCTAGCTGTGTCTAGATATTTATCTTTTTCTCAGTGACCAAAAAGTACCTTATGTAAAACATGCTATTTACCAATATAATTAAAGATCTTTGAGTTGAGTCAGCTTTAAAAATTGCTGAAGATCCCTATGAACACTGGAAATTAACATCAAGTAACAAAACTCAAACTCAGGCTCAGCAACTTTTACTTTTTATCAATTCAATATGTAAATTAATGCCATACCTTTAATTGTTCTATCAAGATTTGTAGGTAAGCATCAGCCTCTGTAAGTTTTTTATCAAAGTCTTGGACGCTAGGAACAAATCCTGAATCCAAACCCTAGAGAAAAAGAAAATTTGCAATAAATCTAGCTTACCCAAGCAATGTTTAATGGTACACAAAATCCTTCATCCTTCATAAAGGCATTTCAATATTTAAAATATCAACAGCACTTTTACATATATAGATCTATTTAAATTATCTCTAAGAATAATGGTACATCAACCTCCCTTATCAGTCAGGAGCACTATTCCATTCTCATCAATTAAATGTGCTGCTGCTCAAATGAAGATGTACTCTACTCTTTCATTTGCTGTTGTTAACCCAGCCCCACCACCACCATCCATAATGGGCTCCCACTTAACCACCAGAGCAACAGTGACTTAGGTAAAGTGACATTAAAACCACCTAGATTACCTCCTGTTTTCCCTCTAGTTTTTGTTCAGTTCACTCTATCCCCTGAAACTTCATATTCTCATTGTTAGGGTCTTCTATTGCTTAACCCATTCCATCAACTCTGAAGTTTCCCTTCCTTTTTCCTTGTTTAAAAAAAAAAAAAAAAAACAAGGTGTGTGCTGTGGGGGAGAGGCATGGCTCAAGTGGTAGAGAACCTGCCTAGCAAGAGTGAAGCCCTGGGCTGGGATGTAGTTCGGTGGTACAGCGCTTGCCTAGCATGCACGAGGCTCTGGGTTCGGTCCCAGCACCAAAAAAAAAGAGTGAAGCCCTGAGTTCAAACACACTAGTACAGCCAAAAAGGAAAGGGAAAGAGAAAGAAAGGAAGGGGAGGGGAAGAAAAAAGGAGAGGAGGGGATGGAAGGGACAGGAAAGAAAAGAGGCAGAGAGGGAAGGAGGGAAGAAAAGAAGGAAGGAAAGAGGGAGGGAAGGAAGGAGGGAAGAAGAATTACCTCTTCTAACATGCCCCATTCTAAGTGAAATTGACATTTTCTGTTAATCAAGTTCCTTACTCAGTTTTGTCCTTGGCATGAACACTATACTCCAGCCAAGGTATAAATGTTTATTTATTTAGTGGACCCACTTACTTCTCAGTTTAAAAGTCCAGCATTGGCAAAGTCTGATTTTTGTACAGCTAAATCTTAAGATCCAAGAGAACGTGGTTTTCATATATTTTAACTTTACTCAAAATTATGAGTTCTTAATCATCTGACTGTAAAACAAATCAGTCCTAGATATAAAAGACAAAATAGCTGGAGAAAATTAGATTAACAGAAGCTTCTATCTGCATGCCTAGTTTTCATGCCATAAATGTAAGGAACTACTACTATCAAAATCCTAACTCAACCACAAAACTGTACTAAGGGATACCCATCTCAAACATGACTTGTTACATTTTCCCTGTCTTTGGCCAAAGCACATTGCTCATTTCCATACTCCCCATTTCAGTGAAGTGAGACTAAATTTTCTTTTATATTACAGCAACACTTCATTTTTACATATATAACACTTCATCATTATTAAAGCATTTCACAGCCTTTATCTCAAAACACCAGACTGATATGGTAAGATATTATGGTTATAACAATGGGTTGGCAAACCTTGTTTCTAATTCCAGCTCAGGTACTAATAAGATACTGTGGCTTTCTAAACTTCTGTCTTCTTTTGGCAAAACTGGGGTTAGAACTCAGCGCCTTGTACTTGCTACTCAAGTACTCTGCCTCTAGTCCCTAAATTTCTGTCTTCTTACTTGCCAAATAAATACCTTCCTCCTATTATTAGCACAGCAGTTATTGTATCTACCAAAGACACTACCACAATTATTACTAATGTTGCTTTTCCTCAAACTAAAATTCAAATTCTGAAACAAAGGATTAAAAGTCTAAGTTTGATTAGACTTTGGGAAATAAACCAACTTATATTTTCTAATTCGAATTCAAAATTGATAAATCTATGTGCTTTTATATACAGGTAAAGAAACTGTTTGAAGAAAATCCCTTCCCAATATGTGATATTACAAAAAACAAAGTTAAAGAAAGAAAAATCTTAATAAACAATGTACACATAATCCATGTTTATGAAATTGTGATTAAGCAATTTCATTTGTAAAGATAACAGAGAACTTCCTATTAGAAACATTTGTATGTAGAGTAGAAAAGGAAGGATAACTAACCATATTTCATACATACTATATTGTAGAAGGGAGCAATTTCTTTCTGTGTCAATATACTGGAGGAAAATTGGACTACTTGGTTTTTATTTCACAGAGCACTGCTACAAAATTATCAATGATTTAATTATCGAAGATCCAGTTAAAATCAGTTAAATACATTTTATTAGGTATTTTAAAAGATCAGTGACACATTTGTAAGTAAATAAAAAGGCAAAACATCTAAAAGAAAGGGACAAAGTGATCTTTTAGAATTTTTCCTCTTCTGAGTCCACTTAGAACTACATGACTATAAAAATCTACTTAGTATATACTTTGAACAAACCACTACTGGACTAAAAACCTTCCAGGGAATAAATGGAAACAAATTAGAGTTAAATTATTTTAATCTGAACTCCATCTAAATTAATTCTTCAGAAATAACCCTTTGAAGATACTGCTAGGATCATATAACTTGCCTCAAATCTCAGACTTGCCTCTAGAAAGTCTTCCACAACTTTCCTTACCTTTAAATAAATTACAGGTTTTGCAATATCCAGTCAAAAATCTTGGCAATTCATTTTTCTTTAGGTAAGGTATGTGAGGAGGTTTATGATAATAGTTATCAGCTGAAAATCTCAGAACTGGCTTAACCCCCCTTTCACAGTAATCCACAAATTTTGGGTGTATTTAAGTAAAAAATCTACACAGTTAATCCATTTAAAATAATGTTAATCCAATAAAATAATGTGCAAATGTATCAATAACATGGACAAGCAGTTGACAGTAATAGAACTATTTTTTTCAACTCTAATAAGAATGCACTAATTAGTCACCGAAGCCACTTGCTACTCACTGAAGTTACTTTTATAACATCTCTGAAGGTCATCTAGTATCTGCCTGACTATCTCATGACATGATAAAGACTATTTTATAAAAACTGCCTTTAAGTATTATCTGTTCCTCTTTCCATTCAACATTTAGGACACTAAGGGAGTACACTTATTCATATTAGTCCTTTTTTAATGGAGTTTTGTTTTTAAATAAGATTAAACATGGTCCTTAACCATGCCGAAGGTGGTCTGTCTTCCTTTGAAAAAAACTGAGAAAATAAGGCAGACCCTTTAGGGCTGTGACTTCACATTTCTTGACAACAAGCAGTTTGGGAATACATCTAGTACTCTATACTTGCCTGACTGACTTCTCTGAACGAATATACAGGGGGCAGGAACTATGCCATTCATCATACCCTCCCATGCTAGCTAAGAGCTAGATGAACCCATGTGGCACTGGCTTTATCATCTGGCAACTGCTGATGCCGTGATCCCAGGCTTCCCATGTCCCTTTCCCTAGGTTTCTCTTGCCTTTCTGTTCTCCTTCTTCCCTCTGTCTACTCTCTCACTTATTTTCTTCTCTTGTACTTCAGCAATAACTCCAGAAATTATGTTGCATTGTTGATAATCAGGACCAAAGAGGTTGCAACACTGATGTGCCACTAATTTTATAATCTGACAATTTCTGTAGGAATTCATTTAAAGCTTAAATTAAGCTGGTATGGTGGTACACACCTGTAATTCAAACACTCAGGAGGCTAAGGCAGCAGAATCATCAGTTCAAGGATAGCCTGGGCTACAAAGAAAAGCTCTGTCCCCCCCCCCCAAAAAAAAGGAGAAAAAACCTTAAAAAAAAAAAAAAAAAAAAAAAGGAAAGTCTAGGCACAGGCCTATCATCCCAGCTACTTAGGAGGCAAAAATCAGGAGGATCACAGCTTGGGCCAGTCCAGGCAAAGATGTCCATGAGACCCCATCTCAAACAGTAGCTGGTGTGGCGCTCAACTACAAGGTGATAATACAAATAGAATTGAGGTCCAGGTCAGTCTGAGCATAAAGCAAGACCCTATCTCAAAAATAACTGATGCAAAAAGGACTAGCTGAGTGGTTCAAGGGGTAGGGTGCCAGCCTAGCAAGTGAGCCCTTGAGTTTAATCTTCAGTACCACCCAAAAAAAAGGAGGAGAGAGAGAAGGTAAAAAACTTTAAACACAATTGTAGAGAAATACAAAAAGTGTGCAATATAACAAGGAAATCAAATTAGAAGTTTCTCCTTAGAAATTACAACTATATTCTAAACATAAAAATTAGAAACTTCTATAAAGAAAAATAACCTACCCAACGTAACAGATATGGTAAAGACAACTCTAGTTTTCAAGAGCACTTTGCAAATAAAGAAAGCTTAAAGTAGGCCAGGAAAGATGGCTCACATCTGTAATCCCAGCTACTCAAGAGGTTAAGATCCAGAAGATCTCAGTTCAAGGCCAGTTTGGGCAAAAAGGTAGCGGTACCCAATCTCAACCAATAAGCTGGATGTGGTGGTGGGAGTCTATCATCCTAGCTACACAGAAAGTGTAAACAGGAGCACCACAGTCCAGGCCAGCCCTGGCAAAAAATGTGAGAATCTATCCGAAAAACAAAGCAAAAACAGTTAGGGACACGGCTGAAGAGGTAGAGGACCTGCTTAGCAAGTAGGAGGCCAAGTTCGAATCTCAGCACTAAAAATAAGAAAAGAAAGCTAAAGTAGATATACAAAGTCTAAAAGAATAATACATAATTCAGCATCAGCCCAAATTGATACATCCAACTTAATATAAAGAGAAAAAATACAAACATATTTATTGGGCTCAATTTGTGGGAGAATTTCTAAAATATCTAGACAGGCAGAAAGAATATCAAGACTGTTACCAGTACTTCCTACTATCATTTCTAATGCATATAGCACCACTTTCTCAGAGAACACTTAAAAAGCTAGCAAATGTCAGCAAAATTAAATCAATTCCTATTAATGACTTAAGGTGGGCCACTGAACACTTGACTTACACTAATACAATGTTTCACCCCATTAAAAAGAGGAGCACTTCAAGGGCAGTCCTTAAAACTGTCTAAAGTACAAGCAAGTTCTGAAGAG